TTCTCTCCGTCTCATACCTTGTCGCATATGGGTGTGGTTATCCAGTCACTTCGGGGGGGGGGGGTACAATCGTACGAGGAAAAACTTCTGACTTCCAGACTTGTTATTATTTCCATCCATTCCGATTAAGGCATAGACATGAACAGGCACTGCACGGGATGAGTGGTGGTAGCTGAAAGAAAACCATGGCTATGGTACTTGGGAAAAAAAGCATAAAGTACCCATTAGACGAGGGATAAGTTATTCAACACAAGGAAAGCAGGTGAAACCAAGCTAGCCAGCGTCTATAATCGTCTTCAAAATTGGACTCAGACGAATGAACATTGGATTACTGGAAACGTCCTCAATTTCAATTCCTCTCAACGCTTTGATCTGGTGCATCATGCTTTATTGTCATAAATCGGAACAAATAATTAAAACTAAAAACTCTAAGCAGAGTGTTTAAATGAGGTGATCTGATTCCTCCTCATAAAGAACAGCCCAAATTCTTCAGATTGGATGGAAAGAAACACCTTTTCTTATGTAAAACCAAATCGCCTCAGACACATTAGGCTATACAGTATGCAACGTTTTAAAGCCCAGTCTGAAAGCTGGGACATTCCTTGCTTTTGTGCGCAGTTATGTCATCCCTAGGGCGCTCTCGCGCCTGGATAATGTGAATGAAAATATCGATTCGACTCTGACTGCATCTGGACAAATGTAATTTGCATAGGGCGTTCGCACCACTGCGCCACAGCCGAATCAGGGCGGTGATGAGAAAGGGTTTCTGCGCGGACATCGCGCTAGAAGCAAAGTTTGGGAGACTCGGGATTGGCTCGCTTGCGTCGCGTTATGTGCGCGCATGTTCCCAAAATCTATCCATGTTCTCCTAGATCGACACTCGCGCACAGTAAGAAGACGCCGCAAGTAACAGGGCGGCGGCTTGTCTTGGCCAATAGCGTCGCGAGAGAACACAAAAGATACTGGGGTTCCTTTAATTCGGGGCAGGGCGTGAGCTGCGTGCAGGAAAAGACCGGCACAGTCCTTGAGGAGCGTCTTCGAGGAGCCGACGACAGTTCATCTCCGATTGGACTTGGCTGGAAGCATCCCAGCGAATTTCTCCCCGAGAAAAGCTTCCTCGCCCTGCATCGACTCCGGCGGGAAAGCGTGTCAGCATCATGGGTCCTCTACTTTTGATGGCTGTGCTTGCGCTCTTTACAGGCCAAACTCTGTCGCAAGGTATGATTTTTTAACAAAACAAACCCCACAAGTACACCTTTATTCATCATGCTAATGAATGATAAGTGCTTACTTTGTTAGCATGTTCAATAATATACATGTATTAATTTTGGCTACCATTCTTCTACAAGGAGCATCAAGTGCATTACGTTCAATACAATTACAAATTCCCTATGCGATATCCTGAAAGTTAATCTAATTCACCGATCAATCCACGCTCAGCGGTACCACTAGCGGATCCAGTTCCCTGAAGAATGCTCGTTTAATTTTTGAGATAGGACGATTTTAGAGGTGAATTTTCATTTCCCCCCCTTCCTCACGTAGCGTGAAAAGGCTCGAAATTCAACTTCCTCCTTGGCTAGGCCTTACAAGGTCAAATAAGGATTTTTCCAAAATGAACCCCATGGAATTTGGTTTTAGACCCGCCCTTGCTCAGCATATAGTTTTTCTGTTGGCCGAAATAGTCTCTCTTAATTTGATTGCGAATGCTATTGTGAATTTGAGAGATTAAATCGGGACCCCTTCAAATTTATGCTTTTCTAATTATGCTGTCGGTTGCTCTAAAATATTGACTGGGTGGAATGAACTGTTGCTGAAAGCGAAGATATTAGGGGGCCTTAAAGTTGACAGGACATGGTATAATTAGATTTGATTGATTGGGGGTCAGATTTGAAAAACGTAAGTTTGAACGCCATTTCTTGGGGAAATCGTTTTCATCTTTCATTGTTTCATGTGGTTCGAGACCGAGAGGAAGTGCGTTTTAGTGTAGCTTACGGAAACAGTTCCGTAGCCTTGGCATCCAACTTGGGAAAACGAAGTTTGTGGAAACTGTTCAAATAAAAGAAAAACCAAGACAACCAAAGTGGCAAGATTTTGATTTCTTTACATATGGCAGTTAAGTTTAGGACTTGAAAAAGCATTCTCGACAAAGACTAATCAAGGGTGTAGTGCGTTAAAGGGAACCTGGTTATGACGCAGGGCAGCTTCAAGAATGTTCAAAACTGGGTTGGGAGAGGAGACAGTGGCCTCTCTGTAGGTGCCCCGAAAGACTGCTCAATGTGAAAGCGCCAGAAAGAGGCTCAATCAATGATTCATCACTAGGGTTGTGGGACCGCCATTCATCAGGTTCATTGAAAATCATGATAGCCACGCGGTAATAAAGCCCACTAATGTCCTTGGCCAGTGGTGTCTTTCTATGCGCTGGTCTTCTTAGACGCTGCACTTCCATAAGCCAACACAGCGCGCATCTTCTGTTATGCAAATTGTTTTCCACTGGCTGCTATATCTTGGAAATTGGCGTCCCGTCCAAGCATTGTTGTCAAAATGCTTTAAAAGGGGAAAATTCGCCTCCGTTGATGTTGGTGTCGACGGCGGCAATCTTTACAGGAACGAATATTGAATCCTGACTCCACTTCAGCGGTTGTTTACGAAATCTAGTATGATATGTGGGGAGTCGAGCCAACTTAGTCCTAATAATAACGATAGAAATACTTCTCAGTCCTAGCTTAGTCCCAGATTCATGTCTTTAAAGTTTTTCTGCAATGAGTGACCTTTGCCAAGAACGTTTAAGAAGAAAGTGGAGGCAAGATGCAACATTCTTGAACGGACAGGTGGATTTGTAGTGAGGGCGCTTGTGGATTGCTTCCTTTTTAATGAGGGTTCATTCATGGTCTCGCAAGGGGTGTGACCACGCACTCATTTCATGAGCTGGCCTTTGTGTAAAATGCTCTCTTTTAGGAGCCTTGTCTACTCGATATCTTTTTATCAATTTGAAGAAAAATAAAATATTGCTTTTAATTTCTGTGGTTTTGCGCTATGAAATTAATGTCCGCAAGTGGCAGAGGACTGAAGTCGAGTCTAACTTACTGTCAATTGGGTCAATTCTTACCCGGGTATCACTGCTTCTCAATACTTTGCAACCTCGTTTTCAAAGCGTCGTGCACGCTACGAACATCAGATGTGCCATGAACAATAACCTGAGACGAAGCAGGATAAAGTTTCATTTCGATTTTGGACATGCATGGTGTCGTCTGCTTGCGAATTTACCGTCGATTGCACAAATTGCAGTTAACAGTAACTTTACACTTGCAGATTAGGCCCAAGTTTCATATGTGATATACAATAACTTTTTCAGCTGAAGAACAATATGGTGTATATAAAACTTGATACACGTGGTTCTTTTGAAGTACAGGGTAAATTTCAGCTTAATGTTCTCTAACGTGTCGTAAGTCTTAATGTAACACTTAACATATCTCAGAAAATCATACACTGTTCTGTAAAATTCTGTAAAAGTTCTTCCACTCATATCTGTAAAATTATTTTCTTGTTTTGGGGGCACATTTTAGAGTTTGGTTACTTTTCAAAAAACAATTGGAAGTCAGGCAAAATAGAATTTCATTAGAACCTGGTAGGCCATGTAGGCCTAAGCTGACTCAAGACTTGAATGCAGAATGGGAATGTGGAGAGCGTAAAGAAATTTGACTTATTGTGAAACTTCAGTAAAAACAGTCACTACGGCAAGGCACAAGGTGTTCTTGATGTTAGGGAACGCAACACATTGGAGGATATCAATATTAAACTAGACGTGGTCTTTATTGACCAGCCTCAACGCACATTTCCAAACTGGGCACGTGGATTTGATCTGTGAAACTATTAAAGGCTAATCAATTTTTTTCCATTCAATACAGAAATGTGTGTCACAAATCAGTGCCAAAATGGGGAGAATTGCTACAACCGACCAGTTGATGCCATCAGCCCCGAGGGGTACATCTGTGAGTGTAACCTGCCCTTCAGAGACGGCTACAACTGTGCCATCGGCCCTGGTACGTACATTCCTACTCTAGCCGGAAGAAGATAAGTCGTCCCTCACACTAGAGCCGGAAAACACTATTTTGTTTAGAACAACCTCCAAGGACAAGCGAATTTAAATGTTCAGGTTTCCAGATCCTGCATTAGAATGCGATCGCAAACCAGCTCACAGATTTCACGTTCACAAGTTTCCGAAGGGAACTGTCATTCTGGAACTTAAGCATTTCAAAATTTATATTCAAGGGTCATAAAATGAAAAATATAATGGATTGTGTGGAAAGTTTTTATCTTGTGTTTGAACATGAATAAAAACTTATAAACTTAAAACAATTTATGATTATATTAAGGTTTGGAACACTGTTTATCATTTCTATATTAATGCCAAGAGCTTTTTGTAGCTCTAGAAGTTCCATTTGTTACTTTGTTCAGTCTCGTTACAACATGGCTCCAGTTACAACTGATCTGTAACCCCCTTTAATTTGTGTGACGTTGACGGCTTTCGTTCTTCTCTCTGTTCAGACAACCAAGAGGTCTACACTTGTTTTGGCAGCTCCTGCTTGACGGGGACATTCACGAGCAAGGACTGGCCCAACGAGTACCCCAGCCGATACCGCGCCCTCTACCTCCTGTACATACCTGGTGCCAACGGCATCAAGTTCACCTTCAATGCGCCCTTCTCGATCGAGATGGATAAGGACGAGCTGTACATTGGGAAAGGCCTGACGGTCGACTTTAACCAGCTCCTTGGGACGGACACGGTTGGGCCCGATGTGCTGTTCTTTGAGGGTGACCAGCTGCCCGGAGAGGCGGTCCTCGATAACACCGACGTGGCCTACCTCTATTTCATCACGGATAAAAACATTCAGTTTGCCGGCTTTTCCGTGTCCTTTCAGATGGGTGAGTGGCAATACTTGATACATTTTGGTAATGACACAAATTGATCACACAAGTCTCATGCTTCCTAAATATAAAATTTTAGACATAAATTAGAAGCTTTTTTTGTCATGGATTGTGTGTTTATCCATGTTTCAAGAAGTGTGGTAACCTCAAATGGACGAAATCTACCAGTGCAATCCGTGGTTGATCTAATGAAGTATAATTCATACCTACCGGAATTTGGATGAGCGCCGGTTCTAAGTTTAATTTAAATGTTGCTATATACTCTCTCAACAGTGGACATTGATCCTCCGGCTATCATCAACTGTCCGTCCGACATCTCACTGACGACAGAGGTCCCTGAGGGCACGCAGGCCGTTTGGACAGCACCTACGGCCACAGACGCGAGCGCCTTCACCACCACGTCAACCCACGTCCCCGGCCAGCTCTTCCCCCAGGGCCCCACCACAGTGACCTACGTCTTCCGAGACGCATTGGGAAATGAGGCCACTTGTTCCTTCACGGTGACGGTCACATTGAGTAAGTGTTTTGCGGTATGATTATAAAGCGAGGCTGTGGTTGTGGTCTTGCGAGGATTCTGTTCAAATCTAAAATCCGATTATGCATAAAGCAATGGCAAACCATATGGATAAAACATGTAGTGACTAGCTTGTGGGAGTTCTAAGATGTCGAAGTGCTTTCCATACCAAGTTGGCACTCTTTGTATTGAGGACTTCAAGTGAACCTCATAGCCTGAAAAAAAGGTAAAGATTTCTTTAAAAATGAGATTTGAATAGTTCGGTTGATAGCAGATCCTGCAGCATCTGGAAACTTTGGACTCTGAGGGTTTTGGGCACTTGGGAAGTTGATCTCCAATGTTAGTCTTACACTGGCAACAATATTGCATGTCTGATAGGCTTCTAAGCCAAGTACACTTAGCATTGTTGCTAAAGACTTGGCAAACTTCCTTTAAATAATGGCAATATATTTTGTCATCACAACCAAATATGAATCCTAGCATTTTTGTTCACACCTCCCACAGTTGATGAGCAACCCCCCCAGATCCAGACCACTACGGATGACATCACCGTGACCGTCCCCTTTGGCACAACCGGGACCTCGGTCAACTGGAATGAGCCGACGGCAACAGACAACCTGGGAACCGTGTTCACCAGCAGAAGCAACGATCCTGGAAGCTTCTTTCTCACCGGAACGTCTACCCTGGTCACTTACACCTTTGCCGATACGTTCGGTAATACTGTAAGCACGTCGTTCACTGTCCAAGTCGTTGAAGAAGGTAGGAACTGTCTCTTGAGTGCAGTCTTTCGTCTGCACTTGTGATATTTCTTTATGGGCTGTGGGCCTCGAGTTGGACCAAGA